CGACGGTACCGAACCGTAACCTACCCTCCTCCCTCCTCCCTCCTCCCCCTCCCCCCCCCCCCCCCCCCCCTCCTCCCCCTTCCTCCTCAGTACCAGGAGCAGTGCGATCTGATCGTATTCTGTCTGCGAGATCTCAAGCTTGGGCTTCTTCGCCGCTGTCGCTGTATCCGCTGCCTTCTTGCCCTCCTCTTCCGCTGCTTCCTCCTCCTTGCGCTTCTTGGGCGACTTGGAGGGAGAACGAGCCTTGCTGTCCTTGGACCTCCCGCCAGCCCCACCCTGCTCGTCGCCGTCTTCATCATTGCCGCCATCATCTCCATCATCTCCATCCTCCTCTCTGTCCTCCGTCTCCTCCGTCTCCTCCTCCTGAGGGGCATCGAAGTCGACCAGGTTGACATCGCCGCTGTCGACGTGGATGATTGACATCTTGAGCAGTCGCTTCGCTTCATCCACGTACTTCCCGCTCACCTCCTCGTCACAGTGAAGCTTCGCCAGAGCCTCGGAAAGTCGGATCATCGACTCCAGCTGCCTTACCGTGATCCTGTACGCTGCCCTCTGCGCTCCCTGGCAGTCGTTCTCTCGCAGCTCTCGGTAGTGCTCCACCAGCTTCCTCTTCGCCTCCTCCGTCATCTTGGGCTTGAGGTTCCGCGCATACCGGATGTACCGCTGCATCTCCTCCTTGCTGAACTCAGCGCCGCTGTCTCCCTCTTCCTCCTCCCTGGCGCCCTTCTGGTGGACTTGGATGATGTGACGGGCGATGTTGTAGTCGGCGATCTCGTCGCACTCGTCGAGGATCACGAAGAAGAGATCAAAGCGCGACATGATGGGCGGAGAGATGTCAACGTTGCCCTTGAGCGACTTGCTCCTGTCGTACCTCCCGTCTCGCGGGTTGGCAGCCGCGAGGATTGAGGTCCTGGCGTTGAGGGTGGCCTGGATGCCGGCCTTGGCGATCGAGATCGTCTGCTGCTCCATCGCCTCGTGGATCGCCACCTGGTCCTTGATGTCCATCTTGTCAAACTCATCGATGCAGCAGATGCCGTTGTCCGCAAGCATCAGGGCCCCGGCCTCGATCCCGAACTCCCCAGTCTCCGAGTCCCGGGCCACGGAGGCGGTGAGGCCGGCGGCAGACGAAGCCTTGCCGGACGTGTAGACAGCGCGGGGCATGAAGTCGGCGACGAACTTGAGGAACTGCGACTTAGCGGTCGAGGGGTCGCCGACGATACAGACGTTGACGTCACCTCTGAGGTTGGTCTGCGTCTTGGTAGTCTTGTGGACACCCCCCAGCAGCATCAGCAGGATCCCCTTCTTCACCTCGTCGTGCCCAAAGACAGTCGGGCAGAGGCTGCTGACCATCCTCTGGTACAGCTGGGGTGACTTGTTCATCATGGCGATCTTCTTTCGCGTCTCCTCGTCGAGCTCCTCCACCGCTTCCTCCCCCTCCTCTCTGAAGTGCGACCAGCCGTCCTTCTCCGCAAGGTGCACAGCGCAAGCCAGGAAGCACAGCTTGTACGTCAGCTCCCGCACGCCCAGGGACTTGAGGCCAGTCACGCCCTCCGACGCCGTGTTGGAACGGTTCCCAGTCTCCCTCACAGCCTCCGCTCGCTCTCCTGCTGCCCTGAGCTGAGCCACGTCGGGGACGACGATGAGGCAGCCGGTGAAGGAGCAGCGGTCGCCGGGCTTCGCTCGATCCACCATCTCGTTCCTCACGATGACGTCCATGCTCCTCGGCATCGAGCCAGCAGGAATCTCGTTGCTGTTCTCCTGGATCCTGATCCTCTGGAAGTCGGCGAACTTTGACTTGTCAATGTTGAGGTACCAGCGCTTCCTGTTGGCGCAGGTCGGGTTCTTGCAGATCGTCGGCTCCGTGTACTTGAACTGCTGCTCCGTCGGGTCCTGCTCAGTGTAGCACTCGAGGCACTGGAAGTGGGCGGACATAAGTTCCGGACGCACTTCCGACGTCCTCGTGACAGTGCCGGTGATACGGGAGAGGCAGCCGATACGGTCGGTGCGCAGGTCCCTTAGCTTCACTTGCTCGGGGATGTTGTAGAAGGAGAGGTTGTACTGGGTAAGGAGGCAGGGCAGAGCAGAAGATGGAAAAAGAAAGAGGAGCAGAGGGAGAGATGAAGAGGGAAGCAAAGAGAAGAGAAGAGAAGCGAAGAGAAGAGAAGAGAAGAGGGGAGAGGAAAGGAGAGGAGGAAATGGAGATGTCAGCTCAATATGAGTTCACGCAGTCGTCGCTCACCTCCTGCGCTGCTGTGTCCGGGTTGGCGACGACGCGCTTGACGAACGTGTTGAGAGAAGATCGGAGGGTCTTTTCATGCTGAAAGTACCTGACGAATCAAGTCAGCCAGTCCCACCACAACTGCCTCAAGTTTCTCACTCCAAACGGATTCTGTCCGCAAGTTCTGGATCAAAATTGCTAACGTGCATGAAGTCAACCTGCAAACTTGTCAGAAACCTTCTCGTTACGTTGATCATCATCACAACCACCACCATCACAATCAGAATCACCATCACCATCATCACCATCACCATCACCATCACCACCACCATCACCCTCTCGTCACATCTTTCTGTACCTCGACGGTTGTCCTGTCCTTAGCAACAACAGCCTTGGCGATCTCTTCGTACTCCTTCGTCTGGAATCCGCTGCTCGTCGTCGGCTCTTCTACTGCTTCAACATACCTGGCGCCCTCAAGTCAACCGTCCCTTCCTCTATGGCGCTCCAGCCTCCCTTACCCGTTGAGGAATGAGGTGAACGAGCTTGAGACGAATTCTTTCTCCTCTTCCATCTGCTGCCATGTCACGGCAGGCACTACCCCTCCTCCCTTTATGACCTTGACTGGGTCCCTGACGTTGGGAGGCAACATCGACGCACTGGCCATGTTATCTTTGCGCTGTCACAAGGGGTTTCAAAGTTGTTGTGACCTGAAAGAGACAAGAGCATCAGCCTGTGCGCATTTCCCCGGAGAAACACGATCGCTCCTTGATCTAACTGAGGACGAGACAAGGTGAGGGCAACGATAAGATGAGAAGGCAGTACGACGAGATGGAAGGAGCAGCAAGCGACTGACGAAGGCTAGTCTTATAGCTGAAACTCAAAAGAAAATGGAGGGATGAAGAAAAACGTGAGCGTGCGGATAAAGGCAAGACCAAAGGAGGGCGAGCCGGAGGAAGAGTCAAACAAGGGGAGGAAGTGCAGTGGAGAAGGCAGAGAGGAGCGAAGGAAGGAGGGAGACAGAAGATCTACAGAAGAAGAGGAGGAGAAGGGCTAAGCAGGAGCAGGGCCTTCACTGCAGAGAGCATGGAGGGAGCATGTTTGGCGGCGGCGCCTGGGCGACAAGGAAGGGCAGGAAAGACCACCAGGGGTTACGGACCAGAAGGGATAATAGGGGGTACTACAACTAGATGAAGGGGGTACATATCCGAGGGGTGGGGGTGGGGGTGGCAAGGCGCGTTTTGCCTTCCTTTTTGGGAAAGTGCGGAAGGACTGAAAAGTCTGCCTCAGAACTGAAGTCAGTGGGGGCAGCAAGATTCATTAGCACTTCTGCTTATCTTGCGTGCCAGTGAGTCCGCGGGCCAGCCCCAGGCTCCCTCGGACGGGCCACAGCCTCAGGCGGTCCGAGGGCCCCCGCCACTCAGCCGGGGGTTCTGACGGAAGTGACTTGTGTTGACTCAGTGAGAGTGAGAGGTTTCGGCGAGTTAGGCTTACAAGTTGAACTAACTCGCGCTCCTGTCTTTGATTGAAGATCAAATTCAAGTTTTATTATTGTACACATCATTACTTCATATTGAATCGAATCATTCAATGTACATGCCACGATGATGTGGCTATCATGCCGAAGGGACGGGAGATAGCAGCGTCCGGCGCATCCCCGACTCCCAGCCAACATTGTTGGCAGTCCCGATGTTGGCAGGAGTAGTAGCAGCGATGTCACTGTCGGACATGAGGCGGGTTCGACGACTGTGAGGCAGATCTTTCTTCATCTCCCCTCCCTCTAGCGACATGCGACGCTGACGCGGCTCTGGAGACTTCCTTTGCTGGCTCTCGGACATTCGTCGTGGCCTGACAGCGACAGGACTAGTCGCGCGATGACCCGAGGATCTAGAGGAGTTGTTGAGCTCCCGGAAGGCCTGTAGGCAGCATCAGCACGACAGGGCAAGCGAACTCGTCGCTGTCATGGTCTCACCTCGGCCAAGAGGACAGGGTCGTTCCCGCCCCACTTGTGGTTGTCATCGATGATGCTCATGAGGTTGGTCGAGGCTCTCCGATGAGAGCTCTTCTCCGTCTGCCCGATCCTCGACATGCGGATGTTGAGCGCCGCCTGACTCGCTGCCAGCTGGTGCTCGGGCTTCTCGTCGTACACCATCTGCTGGTTGATCAGGTCCAGGGTCCCGAGGACGTCCTGAGGGGATTGAAGCAGGGTTCTGATGCATCCCTCGTTCCACGTGAGCGACAGCAGAGCTCGCAGCGCCATGAGGTGCTTCTGGTTGCCGAAGTTGTCGCGCTGACATGCGATGTCGATAATGCCGTCGATCTCCTCCTCCTTCAAGGAGATGGGGCTGTATGCTGCCAGGTTCTCCACTACCTTGAGAGCGCTCTCGTCCTTCTTGGAGAAAAAGCCCTTCTTTTGCTTCGACATCTGCGTTGGCAAATGCAAATTTCAATCATCGAGCTGCAAGCAAAGCATCGATCATGCGTACCTTTGTGAGGACAGATAAAACTTCAGGGCACTGCGCTATCTTGTCTAGACCTGATTCATGCATGCTGAGAACATGAAAGGCCTCCAAGGTGTTTGTTCGTAAGCTTTTATCGTCAAGCTCACGCTCCAGGACTTGAGCGAGCGCTTGAATGACGGTTTGCGAAATGAGAGCAAATTGATTTTGACAGTTGCCATTGCAATAAGTCTCTTGAGCAGTCGTGTTGAAGACTAGTTTGAGCATGATCTTGTCAATAAGGCCTTTGGTGGATATGACAGGCATTGCTTTGACGACTGTGTCAATCTGTGCAGCGTTGATGAGATCGTACGTAGTTATGGGCGACTCTTTCTCGAAACCTTGTCTCGCATTTGTAAGTATATCATCCCATGCCTTGATGTCCGTGGTGGGGCCGTAGATAATTCTCAGACCCCTTCCAACAATCTGTTTTGAAGTGACTCCATACACCTTGGTGAATTGCTCGCTGATCTTCTCTACCACCTGGTTGGCGGCGTGAATGACGAGGGTCGCCTCTTCCGAGGTAGTAGCATCCATGACGGTATCGATCTGATCCTCGAAGATCGCTTTCGACACATGCATCCGAATGCAACAAGACTCTTCGTTACGCTTGGCAATGGCCAGGTCGACCAGAACCTCCTTACCCTGCAGGTTGTAGAAGGTGTTGAAGAAGGCTTCTACCTGCTTTCCTAGCACTACATTCTCAATGAACTGCTGGGTCTTCTTCCCATCAGTCCTTGGCCCAAAGATGATACCAAGAGCACGACCAATCAGAACGTCCTTTGAAGCCTCGAACTCATCCAGAAACCGGCTGTTGCACTCGATGATTCGGAAAGGAAGCTTCGACTCTATGATCAGCTCGATGTCATCGTCAGTCATTGTCTGCGGCATCCTCTTCTTGAGCGGCTTCGACCTGGGCTGGCTGTACATGGCCTCTATCAGCTGCACCAGCGCGTTCGTGGCTGAGTGCACGTTCTTCTTGCTCTCTGTTCGAATGAGGATGACCGCCCATCGGACCATCACTGCGAGCAGTTCAGCCGCTGCAGCATGCAACGTGTGAAGCTGTTGATTGAACAGGATGTGCGTCAATTCTATCATTGCGCCATTTGAGACGAACCAAGCAGCATTGTTCTCACCCGCGTTAATAAGGTTTCTAACCGTAACGAAGCTCTCGTTTGAAGGGGTTTGGAGACCTCTCAGAGCGAGTGAACATTGTTCGATCAGAGCATTGCCTGGTTCTTCAGCATGAACACTCGCAGAACAGCCCATGATTGATCTCAAGCTGGAAATCAATCTTCTAGAACCTCAGCTACGCACAAACTTGACGTTCAAGGACAGTCTGATTCAAGAGGTCGATCGACAACAGAAGCCTCCAACTCCACGAGGAGACGACGCAGCGCACTCTGAGCAAGTGAGCTAGAAGTGGAGAGTGAGAGCTGAGAAAGCCTGGGGAGCGGAGGGGGCGGAGGGGGCGGAGGGGGCGGAGGGGGCGGGGCCGTGAGAGGAGGGAAGGACGGGGGGGTGGGAAGGAGGGGACAAGGAAAGAGTAGCTGGAGGACGGAGAGATACATTCTACTTGGAGTTATAGGGATAGGTCCGGCACCTGAGGTCTCTTTTCAAACGATCTGTTTTTAGGTTACTTCTTCTTTAATTAATCACGGTTTAAGTCAAAAGTGAGTTAACAAAATATCTCAACAGCCAGGGAGGTCTCAAAATTTGCATAGAAGCTATCTAAAAACGGTATGGTTCAATTTCCAAGTACCCCATCTTGACGAGGCTTTGGCCCTTCAGAACGCCGGTACTGAAACAAGAGACCATGAAAGTTCGCTTTTATTTAACTTAGAAGTTGGTTAAATCGTGTTGTAATCTTGGAGAACTTCTTAGCTAACTTTAAGCTTATTCGTTCTAGGGGGTCGAAGTGAAATCACGTCATTTCAAGGACAAACGACGCTAGCAGGGTCGGAAGCTGTGTGGTAAAGAGTCTTGAGAGTAGATGATGATGTCGGTTACATGACCGTTACATTCATCATGGCATGAGCTATTCCCGTTCTCAAACGGCTCCAAATAGCGGCCGGCGCCAAGTGCGCCTCAGTACCATGTCACGGCCCCGGGTGATCACTCTGCTCCCCGGGCCCGCGAGTCACTCAGTCAGTGCACCGAGCCTGAGCGGACCCGTGTCACTGACACCGCCGTCACCGGCCCTGCACCGGCCCGGTGGCCCGGATCAATGAGGGGATGTGGTCCCTCCAAGCACTTGTTGGGATCGATGGCAGCGCTCGTGGAGGAGGAGGAGGATGTGGAGGGTAAGGGAAGAGGAGGAGGAGGAGGAGGAGGAGGAGGAGGAGGAGGAGGAGGAGGAGGAGGAGGAGGAGGAGGAGGA